AAAGGAATGACAGAAGGCACAGCTGAGAATAGACTGTTCCAGGAAGAGGAAATGCCAGAGCACAGGCCAGCAGATGGGAGTGTGCCTGGTATGTTTTAGGGAGACCCAAACCCCAGCATGGCCTGAGCAGAGTGAAATGCTGGAGAGTGACAGGTGAGGAGTTTGGAGAGGGGATTGGAGCCAGTGGGCATGTCATGTTCTGGGGAAAGTGCTGGCTTCTGAAAAGCATTTCTGAAAAGTGCTGGCTTTCCATCTGAGTGACATGCAGAGCAATTTAACACCTTTAATGAGAGAGGGAAAATGATATAATAGCTCTTAAAGAACTTAAAGAAGTTGTAGGAGGCAAATGTAAACTCTGCGAGGTATGTTAGAAGGTTATGGCCATAATCAGATAAGAAATGATGAAAATGGGCATACACAAAGAAAGTACATCAAAGAACATACTTACTGAAAACGTCAATACTTTTCTAGTAACAGGAGGTAAGAAACAAGGATACTCATTATTCCATTCCTATTCAACGTGATCCTAGACGTTGTAGCCAATACATACCAAAAAAGAAAAAGGAAGAAAAAAGGTAAAGAAGTAAGAATGTTAAAGATTAAAAAAAATCGAATTTTTTATATTTTAAGGTTAAATAATCGTATACATAGAAGCCCCAAAGATGGTACAGACAATTACAGGACTGAGAGTATTCAGCGTGCAAAATAAATATCGAGTTAAGATTTTAAATATTTCAATTATATATGCAAGCACTAAGAAGTTGTGAAATTAATTTTAAAAAGATAACATATATTTACTAAGGATAAAATGCATCAAAAAGGAGTGTAATCAATAAGAGGTCCTAAGGGGGAAATTGTAAAACATTATTAAACGAGATTTAAATGGACTGAAGTAAAGAAAAGATAGTGCATGCCCTGAGACTACTGTTCTCCACAAACAGATCATCATTTCCAATGTACTTCAACAAAATTCCAATTTTATTTTTTTGAACTTCACACAAATTCTTCAAATATTTATATGTAATTACAATTGTCCACAAATAGCCAAGATATTCTAAGGAATAAGGAATGGGCTTGTCCACACATATCATATATAAGATTGTATTCCTACAGACTTATTTTATAAATGGAGCTATAACATATTAGACAGTATAGAATCATTATAGGCATACGTAATAGACCAACAGAAAAAAATAAACAGCCCCAGAAAAGGCCCTCCAATCTCTATGGAAAGTTAATTCAAGACACAGCAAGCAGCGCCAGGCAGTGACAGAAAGCATTCACACTTCAATATGTGGAGAAAAATCAACTAATTGGTTTCGTAAGTGATTAAGTGCTCAGCTACTAAACAAAAGGCTGGAGGTTGAAGGTAAGGTACAGGTACCTTAGAAGAAAGGTCTGATGATATACTACCAAAAAATTAGCCATTGAAAATCCTGTGGAGTGCAGTTGTACGGTGAAACACATGGGGTCACGATAAGGTGGAATCAAGTAGAAAGCAAAAGCTTTGTGTTTTATCAAATAATTATCTAATTGGAAGTCTGTTCCTATGTAGTCCACATGCAAAAATCAATTCCACATAGATTGGCTTTAATTATGAGAACGTAAAATTATAATACTTTCAGAAGTTATAAGGAAATGATCTTATGACATCAGAATAGAGAAAAAAACTTAATAACAAGGATCAGTCATAAGGGAAAAGATTGACAAATGCAACTATATTAAAATTCATAACAGTTCATCAAAGGGCAACAAAATGAGTGAGAAGATAAGTTACACAATAGAGGAAATTTTTCCAACGTTTATAAAGAAGCCCTAAAAAGTCATAGAGGTATAAATTAACAACAGCAGAATATGCACAGCCTTTTCAGTAGTGGAGTAGAGTAAGGGATTTGAACAATAAAATCAAAGCAAGACATGGTTTTATACACAGATTGCAAGATCAAAAATTACTTTATTAGATAAACAAATGGAACAAATCAGATATATATGAATATTTTATGAGATGGAAAATTTGTTTTAGTAAATTAAAACATGGCTATGATTTACAGGAGTCCTGGTGGCGCCATGTTTAAGAGCTTGGCTGCTAACCAAAAATTCAAAGTTGGAATCCACCAAGCCGCTCCTTGGAAACCCTGTGGGGCAGTTCTATTCTGTCTTATAGGGTCGCTATGAGTCAGAATCGGCTCAACAGCAACAGCTTTTTATCATCTGTGACTCAATGATTTCCCCTTCACTAGAGAGTGATTGTACTTTGAGTCTGGAAAGACAATGGAGCAATATTCACAAGAGCAAAAGCTACATCTGAAGCACCCGAATTGTGTAAACTCTACAATGCATAGGTAAATTCTGGCCCATTCATACAATGGGAGCATGCATACATAGTAACTTGGGTAGACTACAGCTACAGACAAAAACATGTATGAAACTCAAAAGCATTCTGAGGAAAACAAGTCATGGAAGAACCCAGACACAGTTATAACTAAATTTACAAAAAGCTCAAAAGAGGCAAAAGTAAATATAGAGATTATTGATTAAGACTTGGGTGTCACATTTATGGATGCTTCTTAGATGTAAGCAAACAATCAGCAGGACTGGTTTCCTGGGATTAAAGGATTAGGATGATAGTGTTGTGAGACATCTCGGTCAACTGACATAGTTCATAAAGTTTATGATCTACATTCTAGTTCGGTGAGTAATGTTTGGAGTCTTAAAAGTTTGTGAGTGGCTATGTAAGACACAACTATTTGTCTCTACTCGTCTGGAGCAAAAGAGAAAGAAGGAAACTAAAGACTCCAAGAAGAAACTAGTCTACAGGGCTAACAGTCTACGTGAACCTGAGACCAGAAGATCTAGATGAGACGGTATCTGGCTACCATGGCCAGCCATTCTGATAAGGGCCACAGTAGATGGATCCTGATAGAATGGGAGAAAAATGTGGAAAAGAATCTCAAATTCCTAAAAAAAAAAACAAAAACAAAAAAAAACACCAGTTGACACCGGAGGACTCCCCAAGACTGTTGCCCTGAGATACTCTTTAAACCTTAAACCAAAACTAGCCCCCTGAACTCTCCTTTTAACTAAATAAGGTTGGCTCACATAATAAAGAATATCACCTGTGAGTACTGTGCTGCATTAAAAAATCATCTATAAGAGACCAAACGGTCAACAATTATTTTAAAACAAAGTTAAGAATGTAAGGGGAGGGAAACTAGGTTAATGAAAAGGGAAGAACCAGAACAGAAATATTGAGAATGTTTACGAATTGTGAAGAATGTCATCAATGTCACTGAACAATTTGTGTGGAAACTGGTGAATGAGAACCTAAACTGCTGTGTAAACTTTTACTAAAAAAACAATAAAATGCTGTTTAAAAAAACAAATAAAAGACTTGGATGTCAAAGATATAATCCCTGTAATAATAATAAACTTTTCCAATGCAGATAGCAATAATGTCCAGGCGGGAAATAGATGAGATCAGGGTGGGACACAGTGGGAGGCCGTAAAAACTCACAAGGTCTATCTATTGTCAGGGATTTAGATTCCTGTTACTTAAACTATACATGAACCGTTTATGCACTCCTTGTTTATGATATAGTTGATAATAAAAGCTTAAAGCAACGGCTGAAAATATGAAAGAAATGTAATTTTCATATAATAATTTTACAAAGTCATGTGAAAACCCCTTCATTTTAACTTGTCCTGGTTGAGAAGGACTTACATGGCTAAACTTTTGATACCTGAATCTCAGAAATTGACATCTATATTCACTAGAGCAAGCTTTGTTAGAGCGAAATACTGAACACAATCTAAGGGTCCACTGGTGGCAATATGGTCAAAACAAACAAACATCAATTGTATGCAGTACTATGAAGTTTTATAAGAATTTAGATTCAAGTTCTGTATGTATGTATTGTTATAAAAAGATCTCCAGGAAAATTTGTTAATTAGAAACCAAGTGTAAATTCCAAGCTACATTTTGTTTAACAAAGTAGGAGAAATACAGTTTCAGTTTTAAATTTTCACGCTTACATCAGTTAAAATAGGCACTTCTCTGTGTTTGAGAAGTTTATATCCATTAAATTGAAAAATTCTCAGTACAAACATAAACTAGAAATTTTCCCGAAATGGAAACTGTAAACCAAAGAAGTAAAAAACACCATCTCATAAGCTGAGCTTGTCTAACCAAAAGAAACACTTTTATTTTAGATTCCAGTTAAAGACTGTGGAGAGCAGGTGGAAAGTAGTTGAAAATTGGAGGAACTTAATAGCAGCTCTAGCAGAGACAGAGGACACAGACTCAGACTCGGGAAACATGCTCCCCACACACCTGAAAGACTCAAGGAAGAAGCATCCCTCCAAAAAAGGATGGATCTGGAGACCCCACACACCATCCAGCTGGATTCACTGTCCCCTGCTTCATTTCACTGGTGAATTTATGAGAGGACCAAACCCCACCTACGGCCCGCTTAACAGTCAGGGACTTCCACTACTAAATTCTCCCCCATTTTCCACCACACGACACAGTGTGAGAAGGGAGCTGTAGTTTTAGAACTGCACGAAAAGGGCTCCAGTGCCTGGGGGAAGCCAAGAAAACTGCAAGGATGGGACAAGGATGGCTCTGGAGGACCTGAAGCTTGGTCTTTTCAGCCAGAACTGCTCTGTCTTCAAACTCCGTGGTCAGCAGACTCTGTCATTCAACACAAAGAGCCAAGGCGCAGGACAGGGATGTTAACGCTCCATGATGTCAGCCCTGAGAGTCAGCTAAGGAAGGTGGCCCCAGGTTTCCAAGACTTGAAAATCCACATGTGTGTAGAGAAAGGGCCCAGTGACAGTGGAGCAGGGCCTCAGGATGCCTCTTAGGGCTCAGACCCTTGGCCATCTCAGCCACTTTTTACCTCACTGAGGAACCACAGGGCCCGGAACACATGGTCCCCCAACAATTCATATCTACCCGCACCCCTTGTAGTTACGATACCCCAGTTCTCTGTAGTACTCACCATATCCTGGCTCCAGCTTCTGGAAGTCTATGTGAATGTGCTGTCTTAGCCCAAGAAGCCACTTCAGGAAGAAGGATGGCAGTGGAAGCAGGGCCATTAGGCAGTTTGGAGGCAGATGAATGATGTTTGGTCCACACAGCCAGTCAGGGCAGTTAAAATCCTTACTTGAGATTGCATGGATGTGCAAGATGGCCGCCCTCAGTCCCCTGCTGCCTAGACTGGACTAGCTCTCCCTGTGCCACTCCTGGGACCTGAAGTGGAAGAAGGAGACAATGCTGGGTAAGGAGGAAGTGACAGGTTCCTGGCCTTCAGCTCTTTCTCTCCCTAGGGCTTCCCCCCAGTCTCAAAGACATGCTCCACTCTGAGGACATTCGCATTTAAGGCAGATACTGCTCCAGCCTTTCAGAGAACACACTTGCATTCTTCATGCATGCAGCTCCAAAGGCCTCTTCCTTTGCCAACAAAGTCAAAGAAAAAAAAGTTTCCTCATCCCCGACCATGAGGGGCATCCAGGCCTGCCCAGGCTGGAGAACATGAACCCAGCTTCCTCCAGGGCATCAAAGGCCCATGGCTTAGGTTGAGGGTTCACCTATGAGGTTAAGGGTTCACCTTAATAGAACAACCCACAATTTTATTGATATTAACATGGCTGAATTTTCAGCAAGAATGTATTTTCCAAGTTCAAGTCAATGAACTCATCATGTGTCAATGATTTCTAATCATGTGCAGTTGAAAGTCTTCTGTTGTGCTTTGCTTTTTTAAGATTTTCAGGACAATTAAGCATGATAATATATGATCAGTATTTTTCCTGTTGATTTTGCAACCAACACTTCTTTCTTCCCCTTAAGGTTTTTAGTTTGTTTTTCTTCACTCTTTGGCCATGACACCACCAGTTCCCAAGCTTTCCAGAAATCTGGGAGAATTCCTGAACACATTCTCTTTAAACCTTATAATAATCAGTCAACCAGTAAATCAGACAATCATTAAGTTTTCTCTAAGGAGCAGTCTGTTCCCATTTCTTTCCTCCCCAAGACGCCATGCCGCTGACTGGTACTCCTTTATTCCTTGGATTCAGTGTAAACGTTCTCTCTGTCTCTCGCATAAATCTGTATACTAGTGGCTCCATCCTACTTCTGTAACAGTTATTTTCAGCTTAAACTGGGAGCTTGTGAGATACAGAGAACACAAAGCCCCATGAAAGATAAAAATCTGCATTTGCACAAGATCCCTGGGGTATCCATATCCACGTACTCCCTGCTCCAGGGCTTATAACTGAAGGAATGAACATTCTATATTGGATGCCCTGTCTCAGCCCAACTACTAGCCATGTCCACACCCCCGCCCCGCTCCTTGGCTGGCTTCAGCGGTCCAGCCAGGTCCTGCTTGCCTGTCCAAGACTCCGGCCCATTCTGGGCTTATCGCTTAAGCTAGATGCCACCCAGTGTCCCCACACCCCCGTGACTACAGCAAGCTGTGTGTGGAGAAAGGCCTGAAGGGGCGATGGGAACTCATGCACGCACCCACAGCTGTCTCCGAAGTACAGTGCAGGTTACCAGTGAAACTCCTCGCAGACGTGAACACCCAGACACCAGGAGACAGACAGCGAGAACCCCTGGAGAAGCCTGGGCCAGGAGGACAGAGCCAACCCATAACTGGGACAAAGGCCCTGAGGGCTGCCTCCTTCCCACCCTCCCCAGCTCGTGAGTCTGAGGATGTCCACTATCTTGGCCTTCCTAGAAAGACTGGGAGCGAGCTGCTCCCCGCAGCCCAGGGATGGCCAGGGCTGGGCGAAGAGGGGGTTCCAAAGCACAAGGTGAGGACAGGGGCTACGAAGTGCTTCAGAAGGATCCAGAAAAGAGAGGCCAAATCAGCCACTCCCCCACCTTCGTCAGCGCCTGAGATGGAAGCCCCTGAAGAGAGACTCACAGGTGGCAGATGGCACACGCTGGGGAAGCGCGTGGGGGCGGCACAGCTGACCTGGATCCAGGATGCCTCTGTGATGACCTCCCTTTCCTAGAGGGAGGGGAAGACACCAGAGCCCAGTTCTCACCCCGGCGCTGGAGACTGTGATTCACGCGCCACCGGGAGCCTGGAGAGATGGGGCACACAAAAAGAGTGTGGTGGGGAAAGGCTGTGCTGGAGGGCAGGAGTGGGTATTCTGGCAGGGAGGGCTTGTTGGAGATCCTTGGCGCCGCCCTTTGCCGACACTTGCTAACGCAAAACGTGAGTCAGAGCCACCTTCCGCAAAAATCAATAATGAGACATGGGTGAGGTGAGCAGCAAGAGGGTCTCTATTGTATATTGATATACAGGAGACAGAGGGGAATGGGCTCCTCCAAAATCTGCCTCCCCTCCTGAGGCCAAACAGAGAATTTTATAGGGACAGAGTCAAGGTCTAAAGGATCTGTGGAATTTTAATTCCCCTTTGAGATGGGCACAAAGACCACCCTCTAGACAGGATGAGCTTCTGCGGGTATTGTTGAAGATCCTCTGACGCCATCCTGGTTTCGGTCACAACATGGACCCCTTTGTTCAGTTGTCTTGCTTCTAGATTTTACCACTTCCTGTTCTACCTCTCAGAGAGGAACTTAGGTTAATTTTAAACTTTTATAAAATCATGGGAAAACAGGCGGGAACAGAGAAGGAAAATAAATCTGAATCATAGGAGCATGCAGGAGTGGATAATAAATCAGAATCACAGGAGCATGCAGAAGTGAACTATGCAAGCTATGCAATAACAATACCACAATACCCAGGACGCTAGGCCTACATAGCCTCATTCCCATGCAGCTCCTTTCACCCTCAGGGAGCTGCAGAAGGCTGGGAGTACTGAGGAGGCCGTGACAGGATGGGGAGACAGGTGAGGGCCCAGAGCAAACTGATCTGCAAAGGCCAGGCTACTAGAGAAGTGCACACTTTGTTTTCGACCCCTTCCTTCCCTTGCATCACCACCATCCATGTTTGCCTTGTGACGCTCATGCTCCCCCAGCCCCCAAGGCCAGGCTTCAGTCCCAGGGCTTTGAGGCAGGCAGGGTGCAAAGGGAGCTCGACCTCCAGCCCCCACCTTGGCCAGCCCCCTTTCTCTAAAGCTTGATTCATTTTTAACTCCTTCCAGAAAACTTTATTTAAAAGAAAAGAAACACCTAGGAATAAATGTAACCAGGGAGGTGAAAGACTTGTACAAGGAAAGTCATAAAACATTATGCAAAGAAATTAAAAAGATCTGAATAAATGGAAGTCACCTCAGAATAAAGGCCTGGAGATCTACTTCCAAAAGTCCAAGCTATTGAAAAAAGAAGAAAGGGACAAAATCAAAACATTAACTACAGACTTCGAACAAATAGAAAGAGAACAGCAAAAAAAGCCCTCAGCCAGTAGAAGAAAAGAAACAATAAAGATCAGAGGAGAAAAAAACAGAGAATAGAAAAACAGTAGAAAGAATCAACAAAACCAAAAGTTGGTTCTTTGAAAGGATCAACAAAACCGACAAACCACTGGCCAGACTGACAAAAGTCCCAACTATTGAAAGCCCTACAGAGTGCAGTTCTACTCTGAAACATACAACGTGGTCATGAGTCAGAATCAACTCAAAAGCAACTGTTTTTTTTTTTTTTTTCAGTTTAAATAAATGGGAAGATATCCTGTGTTCATGGATTGGAAGACTTAATATTGTTAAGACGTTAATAGTACCCAAAGTGATCTACTGATTCATTGAAATCCCTGACAAAATTTTAACAGCAAAAAAGCAAACCCTGAAATTCATATGGAATTGCAAGAAGACATGAATCAATCCAAAACAATCTTAAAAACAGGAACAAAGTAGGACAACTCACTCATCCACTTTAAAAAATGTACTGTAAAGCTACAATGATCCAAACAGTCTGGTTCTGGTATAAGGATAGAAGTAAACACCAACGGAATAGGATTGAGAGTCCAGAATAAACCTATACATTTATGGTCAATTGATTTACCAAGAAGGTCAAAAATTTATAGTCTGAAAAAAATAGCCTCTTGAACTTCAAATGGGGCTGGGAATACTGGGTCTCCACATGCAAAAGAATGAAGTTGGACCCAGATATCACATTACATATGAAAATTAACTTAGACTAGAATAATAACCATATATAAACTAAAACTATAAAACTTTTAGGGTAAAAACGCATGAGTAGTGCTTCAGGACCTAGTTTTTGACAATAGATTCTTAGATGTCACATCAAAATCATGAGCAACAAAAGACAAAATAGATCAACTGGACTTCATCAAAACTAAAAATTTGTGCATTAGACTTTATCCAAAAAGTGAAGGTACAAATTACAGATTGAAGAAAATATTTAGGAATTATATATCGAATAAGGGTTTAATATCCAGAATATATAAATAATTCCTACAACTCAACAACAAAAAGAAAACAACACAATAAAAAATGGTCAAAGGATCTGAATAGACATTTCTCCCAAGAAGATACATACAAACGGCCAATAAGCATACGAGAAGATGTTCAAAGTCATTAGTGATTAGGGAAATGCAAAGCAAAACAAAAATGAGATACCATTTCACATCTACTAGGATGGCTATTATTAAAGGTACCAATTTAAAATGGTACTGGCTCTAGGGAAAACATTTCAGAGATTGCTGAAAAAGTTAGGAAGCATTGGTGGTTCAGTGGTAGAATTGTCACCTTCCACTTGGGAGACCTGGCTTTCATTCCAGCCAAGGCACCTCATATGTAGCCACCATATATATCTGTCAGTGGAGGCTTGTGTGATGCTATGGTGCTGAACAGGTTTCAGTGAAGCTTTCAGACTGCGACGGGCTAAGAAAAAAGGCCTGGTGATCTATTTCTGAAAATCAGTTACCTAAAAATCCTGTGACTAAGAAGGGTCCGTTTCATTCCATAGTGCATGGGGTAACGGTAAGTCAGGGCCAACTCAAAAGCAGCTAACAACAACAGCATAACATACAAAGGGAAGCACATTATGTCTATTTGGGCATTAGATTACATTAAAGAATTAAAGTTCATTATGTTAAGAGTGATAATTATGCATATTTATATGATATATCTTGAAAGAAGTAAAGCCAGAATGTTCCTTAAAAGGGAGTATGTTAAGACTATGCATAACGTACTTTGGACATGTTATCAGGAGGGATCAGTCCCTGGAGAAGGACATCACGCTTGCTAAAGTACAGGGTCAGTGAAAGAGGGAAGACCCTCAGAGAGAAGGACTGACACAGGGGCTGCAACGATGGGCTC